CCCAGCCCTTGGAGCACTACAATGATACACAGCTCTATCAGGTGGTGGATGACAAGCCAACCCTTGCCACCCCAAGCCCTTTGACTAAAGAGCCTGCGGAGGTCACACCGGAGAAGGCTACGTTGGTTTCTTTTGAATTCTTTTGAACGCCTCTGTTCCAGTCCATATGTACATGCACAAGCCTTTGAAGCACCTTTACGAAAAGCTTTGGACTGTCAGGTGGAGCCACCGCTGCCAGCATCAGTCACACCTGCCATGCAGATTGATATGCGTACCGTTCAAAAGAAAAACCTCAAGAGGGGGCGGAAACCCAAGAAGGGTAAGAAGGGCAAGGGGAAAGGTGAGACTCAAGACAAAAAGGCAAAGGGAAGGGGCAAGATAGCAAAGAAAAGGGGCAAGCGATCTCTTTTGAAGAAAATGTCGCCAACCAAGGGTTCAGGTGAATCAACACTGAGAGATGGCAAGAACGCCAAAACTGAAGTTGAGAACCCACCTCGAAAGAGGTCCAAGACTCCCAAAGCCAAAGCAACACCTTCCGGAGCTTCCAAAGCATCCGGGACGAAGGGGCCGAAGCGCGCAAAGGGGGGAAAAGCACGCATGGAGGAGGGAGTTGAGGTACCATGCCCCCCGAAGAGTCGCAAGGCCAAGAAGGAGGGCCAGAAACCCAAGCAAGAACGCTTTGGGAGTGGCAAGAACTGGGTGTACCTCATCCTTGAGGACCAGTACTACGGGTGCACCAATTGCCGCTTCATTTTTTGGGGGGTGCGCAGCATGCCAGAGAGATAGTTTCAGGGGGCGCAGGGCCGAGGAGGTCCGCGCTGAACAGCAGGCAGCATTGACCAGCGCAGCGTCTGCGGGGGAAGGGGGAAACCGGAAGAACAAGCGAGCCCGCGGCAGTGCTCCATGATCAAACTTGGGATCGCGGTCAAGGAAACTCAGCTCGATATGAGTATACAATGTCTTTTAGTTTTCTGAGAGTTTCCAAGCTCTTTCCCTTCCATGTTTCTTTTTGATAATCCCTCCTGTCCTTCAAGGCACCGCTGTCCCATGATTGGTGGACAGCCTGCCGGCGAAGTCCGGCAACATCTTTTCTTGGCTTGGCAGGGACAGCCTTGCTGTGTGATGGGGTGAGTCGCGACAGCCGCAGTCCATGTGTGGGGGAGTTCTGACATACCTGTAATTGAAGTTTTGCTAAAGCAAACTTTGTTTGAGACCGTCTTTTCTACCCCGCAGTGAGCTGTAAGCTGTTTTACTCTATATAGTTATCTCATTGTGGTAGCGGCCTAGGCGTAGGGAATCCGCCGGCCTTGACCGCCATGGGGATTTTCAAAGATGAGATGTGTATTCGCCGTAAGGGACGGCCTGAAGAGATGGATCCCGAAGAGAAAAGGGTTGGCGCGGGAACTTGCCATATTAACACATGCATGTTTAATGCAAATTCTCACAGACACGCTCCCATCCCAAATTTGACTATCCCAAGCCTGAGCCCGCTCGCATGGCAGGTGAATGAGCGCAGCCTGGAGGCTCCGACGCGGTTGGACAACTTCAAAAGGTACCTCACCCCCACTGCTGATTCTCATGTCCTATTGTGCAAGTTGTTTGGCAAAGAAAGGACACGCGTTTGATTGTCCAGGTCTGCTTTATCAGTTTCAACCTTTGGTGGCCTCCGTTCACTGCTGTAGCTAGTTTTGCTCACATGCGCGGGATCCACCACAAAAAAAGGTTTGGTGGAATCACTCGGCTTTTGTTTTCCGGACCACTTGTAGCGGACCATGGACCACGATCTGGCCTACGAAGAGCGATGCATTCTTCACCGCCTGTTGGTTCTCGATGCGCCTAAGGCGGGGCAGTCTTTTCATCTGCCCACGGCAAATGACAAATGCACATGACATGCGCGTGGTGGTTTTTAATGACCAGACATATCGGCACAAGTCAGGTCTTGTTGATGGTCATCGTCTTCCTTTTCTCGATGGAGGGACTTCCCAAAGCGCAGGCACCAATGTTGCCAGCTGTTGCCAGCTTTACATCCAAAGGACAAATGTAAAAGACCATGCGTGCCACATCATCCGCCTCAGGTCTATGAAGCTATCGAAGTTTTTGCTGGTGCAGGGATCCTGAGCAAGTGCCTGACCCTTGCAGGGTTCAACACCGCATCCCTAGACATCTCCTACTGGGGGGCCATGGATGGAAGACCGCCAATACCAAAACAAGAAAACATCGAAGAGAAATGCATTAGATCTCTTATCTCCTGGAGGGTTTGCGTTCTTTGGCTAAATGACTCAACCTTGGTTTGCCTGTGTTTGTTCTGTGTTTGTTTTGATTTTGTACATGCGTAGTGGAACTCCCACATGCAGCTAAGTTTGTTGCTGGCAGCAATCCTGCAGTCCCAAGATGGTGTGGTGGTGCACTTTGGGCTTGTTTGCTCAACCTTCATAGCAATATCACGTGGCTCGACATATCGAAGCTATTTCCGTCCAGAAGGAGATCCCTCTTCCCCATCTGTTGCAAGAAGCAATTTGCTCGCAGCAAGGATAGGGTTTCCGTTCCCTAGATGTTTGGGGGGCTGGTGTTAAGTGGTGCAGTAGAAACAATCTACCCCTACCCCATGACATGCCCAAACCCTCTATGCCTGCAAAGGGTGACTGCTTCGCCAGGACATGCCTCGCTATTCTTTTGGTGATGGCGAAGAGAGGCGTGTGGGTACTGGAGCAGCCATCCAGTTCTTTGGCATTCCGGTTGCGGCGGTTTCAGGATCAATTGGTACGGAAAACACGTGAGCCTAAGCGGCATATATTTCCATGCGTAATAGTCAATAGCATTTGTAACCGTGCTTTCGTTGTTGGTAGGACTTGGTAGGGTCATTAATATATATGAATTCACGTATAGAACTTGAGCCCAGGTCTACCGCCAATCCTTCTGGATGCGAGGGTGGGGAGCCACCACGCCAAAACGAACCACCTTGTGGTCGAACAGCACCGCAGTTCGTTTCTTTTCCACATCCAAGAAGGCTAGGTCGATAGGTAAGGGCAAAGGGCCCAAGCTTGCCGAAGTCTACCATGACAAGAGTGGCCGCAAAAGATACAAAGGAATTCCCCAAGCTTTGCGCAAAAGCCAGCCCGAAGCTCAAGGCAGTTTGGGGTTCAAGTTCAATATGGCATACATTCTGATGCTCTCATGCCCTCATAGTTTTCCAATTGTTTCCTCCATGCATTAAGGGAATACCCTGTTGGCTTTGGGCTCCGCTTCGCACAAACAATGAAGCGCTTCCTCAAGGAGAGGTCACCTTTGCTGAGTCCTCATCCTGTCGCTTTGCAGCGTATATATACTACTTTTCTGATATTCCCAAGATGTATCCTGCAAGTAGCTGACTAGAGTTCTTGCCCTCCCCCGTTGAAGTTCCTCAAATCCAAGAACTATGGAAGCCTAAGAATCAGATCCAAAGATCAGGCCCCCTACCAAAATGGAGCCCCAAAGCTTTACTACCCTAGTTCCGCCAAGGCCCCCAGCCCAAATCATCTTCTCCCATGCCACGTCATGCCACAGCCGGAGATTGACGACCTATGGGCAGATGCCAAGATGGAAGAGGTGATCGAATACTTGGCCCGAGCATCCTCCCTGAGGGTCCCAAAGGGATGGGAAGGCTACTTCCCTCAGTTCCAGCCTAGGGCAGAGGGCTAGACCCGTGCATGCATGAGTCTTTATGGGGGTGCCACTTGACCCCGAAGCTTACGATAACGGTTCCGTCGCGGCCTTTGAGCGGAGAGTTGCAGAATCAAGAAAAATATCTAAAAATAGTACACAGTGGCAGTTTTTGGGGATAGTGACGTAAATACACAGTAAAGTGGCGTAAAAAACCGTAGGAATCCTACTCCAAAAATAGTACACTTTCACTAGCTTTTTGGGGTCGCCTCAAATCGGTCTCGGAATCGTACGAGTGGCTTGTACAATACTTGGCCACTGAAGCTGAGATCTCATGCTAATTCGAGTGGCGTTTCTGAACGCCCAAGATACATAGATGTATGGGAAAAGGTCCACGCGGTGAAAGTCAAATCCCAAACCAATGAGGGATATGGCCTGCAAGGATTGCTATGCATGCATGCATATGTGATTCTATTTGTGCGCCCAGGACTCAAGGCGGAAACGCAGTGGGTTTTTTTGTGATTATAGATATCCTATAGGATGTTGACCCCTGAACGGCAATGGTCTTGCAGCACCTTGCTGCGTGGGAGCTCCTTCTTGGCAGAGCAAATGGCTGCCAACAAGAAGATGTCATATGACCAGATTGTTGCTGTTTCTAGGCTGCTGCATATTTCATGTGTATCCAACCGCATCTTGCTTTTCATCCTCTTGCGCACGCGCGTGCGTACCACGGCTCAGGCTGCCCGACAACGTCTTCAAACTTTGGCTGATCAAAAGCATGAACAGCCTGCATCAGCCAGCGAGGCGAAAGGTGTGGCGCCTGGTGGGAAGGGGAGCAGCGTGCCCATAGTTCTTTCTCCAACACCTGCTATGACACCTGTGACTCCCACCGCTCCAGCTGTTGGTGGAAAAGCTGCACTTGAAGACAAGGAGAGAAGTTTTCCCAACACCACCCTGTAGACCCATTGCATGGACTCCATCTTGCATGCTTGGGCTTTTGTCCGGCCTCTTCACTCATTTTCGGCAGTAGGTCAGCATGACACACCTCAGGACACTGCTGGTAAGGGTGCAGCAAAAGCCAAGGATGCACCCAAAGCGGATGTGAAGGTGGGGTGGGGCTCCTCAAAAAATGATAAACAAGGCATGCCAACCTTCAAAAAACTTGAGATGAGCGTTTGCATGTTACCATGGCTGCCCCATGCTACCCCCCACTCAAAAGTTCCTCACTCGCAGGCTGATGAGGGTGAAGATCCAGGGCTTGCCGAAACGAAGGCCGGTGAGTCGTCATGCATTCCTAAACTATAGATATGATATATATATATATACAACATATATATATATGCATATGAATATGTGCATCTTATATGTGTGGCTGTCGAACTTGAGACCCAGCGAATCACCGAGCGCCTTGCCAGGAGACAAGAAGATTGGAATCTATGCTGCGCCGCCTTTGCACCCCCAAGCCTGCCAGTGGTAAGCTTGAGGTTAGCCAGGAGATTTACCGACAGTGGAAGTGTGGTGGTGTTCAGCGACGGGCTTTGCTGGACACACTCATCGCATCAGGTGGTGACAAGGACTTGTACGCCCCATACGCACAGTTTACACATGCTTACTATCCTCCCCTCATATCTAGCACACAGTTTTCATTTGTGTTGACTTGGTGAGGGGATCATGCAACTTGGGATGTTGGTAGGATGCCTTCAAAAAGAAGATCGAGCACCTGCAGAAGCGAACCCGGAAGAACAAGTTTCATGTTGAACGAGGCTTCTACACAAAAGAGGCCATGGCAAAGGAACTCAAATGGAGCAAGTTGGTGTCCCAGCTTCCTTCCTTGCATGCAACCCTTTCATGCTAAATACTGCGTCTCTACCATGTGTGACACTGTTTCTCATTCCCATGCCTGCATGTCTCCCTTCAATCCTAGGAACAGAATCAAGGAAGCTGTGGCATACTGTTCTCATCCTTCCAGGGTCAAGACCCATGTAAGGCCTGGCTTCTTATGTTTTGAGTTTTTGGTGACTTTCCGTGGTATAGGGGCGCAGCGCAACAAAACAAACCTTGTTGAGTCCATTTGGTCCAATAACAGCTTCAACCGGCCCCTTCATGGTTGGTTTCAGGCGCGATCTTTACGAAAAGAAGATCAAGGAGTACTGGGTCAACGTGAAAACCACTGGGGCATATGAGCAGGAGCATGAGGAGTCCTTGGTGGATCGTACTGTTGGTGAAGGGACCGCAGAAGCTTTCAACCTTGGTCTCCCAGCCGAGGGAGACGGAGCCATGCTGCCTGAAGAGGCAGAACCTGGGGCCGACACGGATCTTGACGATCCTGATTTGGAGGATGGGAATGCAAGTGCGGGTACGAGCAAGTTTCCAGGCAAAGCGCAGGTTGAAAGGGAATCTGTTTTGGAGGCTGGGTGGCATTCACAAGTGAAACACATGCACGGTGAACTTGAATCATGGTTCACATGTCAATGTGTTTGTGAGGCTGTTGAGAACGTGGGCACTGTGATGACCAACCTCCTACGGGTTCAAACACGGATGGAAACGCTCCGGGACCGGCTTGCAGCCACGGATTCACCCGAAGCAAAGGCGAAACCGTTTTGCACAGAGTTGCTGAATTTGTTTGCTATAGGTCTTGAAACTGTGTGCATGGCTTGGACTTCTATCCTCATGGATGGAATCTAAGGAGCAAAAACAAGGTCGAGGGATTCCGCACGAAATTGATGACCTACCATGATGAGCTAGCTGACCTCAAGTCATACTTTGATGGCCAGCATCATGATGATGTTTTTGACCAAGAGAAGCTTGATTGTTGAGGGTAGGATGCCAAACCAACAACCCCAAAACACACCCTTGTTGTCAGCCCGCCCAGGAAGGTCAAGAGCCTGCGCACTGTTGTCCAAAAGGTCGAGGTGGAGTACAGTCCTGAGCTGTTGGACTGAGATACATAGACTCTCAGCGTCCTGTCAGTTCTGCTGGTGCTTAACTTGACAGGTCTTCTAGGGCCATGATGGAAGACACGAAGCTGCGCAAGTTTGGCGCTGAGCACGTTTGTTCTTTTCCGTCAGCCTGATACCCGTTTCGTTTTGATCTTTCAGGACTGTCCTGAAGGCAGTGAGAACCGAGCCCGGATCCGAGCCTGGAACTAGTTCAAAGGCAAAGGCGAAAGCTAAGGGCAAGGCCAAGGCGAGTGCCCCCAGAACTCGCCCTGGCAAGCAGGATGATGTCGAGGCTGAGGGGCAGCCCAAGCGAAAGAAGAGGAAGTCTGCCGGCAAGGCCGGATATCCCTGCCCGCTATAGTTTGTTTACCTGGTGGGTTGACAGAGTCAAGTGCATGAATGCGTGAGGCCTAGATTTCAAATCTGGTGCGCACATTGAAAGGAGTAAACATGGTCGAGGACTGAGACAAAACCTGGTCTCACATTATTGTTTGCAATCTATGTGAAGCCCTGATACCCACAGTTTTCGCCTAGGCTGGATGGCGATCAATGGATGTACGTGACCATGTGAGCTGTCTCCGCTGCGGGGGTCTTCGGGGGAACAATTCAACCTGCCTTTCCTGAAGCTTTTTTGTTGGACACCCCTAGCTGTTGCAATATCAATTGCAAACACGAACCTTGCTTCTGGATGGGGCGGAATTGTGCTTTAAGAAATTGTCTTTCAGCGTGTGGTCCACTCACCGCACGCTGTTGCAAAACAGCAGGACGTGCGAAAGAAGTTGATGGCTGGGAAAAAACATGTGCATGTATAGTGATGACAGCCTACAAGCAGCAACCTCAGACTGATAAATCCTGGGAAAACCGCCCGCGCAGGTTCCAGGCCTCAACCAAAAGCTGCCAGGAGTTTGCGCTGCGGTCCTGCGGCTAAAGCCGTCGCATCTGCTGTGGCGAAGGGAGTGCCTCATGGTTTTTGATAAATTTTGTTTTCAACGGTTCTTCCTCGTTCCAATCTTGCAGGGATAGGGGTCTAGGACCAGGGTACATAAACTGAAAGCCCCAAAGGCTGCTTGACCCAACAACCCTCTCACTCCAGCTTTTGGTATTTGGCACTTGTGTTCTGGGTTCCAGGTTCGTTCGCTCGCAAACTTAGGTAAGTGAGAAGGAAGCCTGTACTATTGCACGGGCCGTTTGGGAAGAGTTTGCACCGTTCTTGGGGAAGGAACCTCCAAGCGGACATTTCTTTAGTATGGCCACCAAGCTATCGACAACGGGTCATGAGAACCGCCTATCTCGCAATTTGGCTGTGTATGGCCTGTCGGCTGACATCTCCATTAGTGATGTCGATGTGGGCCTCAAACAGAAACACCCCGTTCTACGTGTAGCTGATGCTTTGCAAACTCTTGCTGCCGTGGGGAAGTTTGAAGGTCAGTTCTTGATGGGCCACAGTTCTTCTGCTTTTGAAGCTTTCTGGGATCGATTCAAACTTCTTCAACCTGAACACCCAGTCTTTGCAAACCATGCTTCATGCACGGGCTCCTGCGTACCCATTTGCCTTCACTTCGATGAAGGTACCACATTGAAGAAAAAAAGTATTATGGTGGTCTCTGTGCAGCCCCTTCTGGGAAAGGGGACTCGGAAAAGAAAGAGCTCTGATGCTGAAGCCGGGTGCAACATGCTTGGTGACTCTTTGTTGACGAGGCTACTTTACAGCGTTATGCTTGGCAGGGTGTACAATTCGAGGAAGGCTAAGGGCAAACCACTGTCACTCTTGGTCAAAAACCTCTCCCTAGAGTTGAGGGACGCTTTTTTTCAACGGTGTTGAACTTGCTGTCGGTGACGATGTGCGCAAGTATTTCTTAGTCCCTATAGCTGTAAAGGGAGATTGGCCAGCACTGGCCAAAGTTGGCCAACTCACCAGACACTTTGGGCGCCAAGCTCAGCAGAAGCCAGGACACGGTATCTGTCACCTGTGCCTAGCTGACAAAGACGGTTACAAAGATTGGCACAACCTGTCATATGACCGCATGTTGCAGATGCGAGTTGATGCTCCTATGCCATGGCACCAAGAGCCAGATCTTCTATCTGCCGTCCCAATCCAAGAAAGCCACAAACCAAACTTTTTTCGCATCGACTTGTTTCACACCCTCCACAAGGGATTGTTTGCAGATCTTTGCGCGAACGCGATAGCCTTTTGGACTTCATAGTTGGTGTGCAAACCCCTGCAATTTTTTTGTTGCCTAGCTCAACAGTTGTTCTTACCTGGCTTCTTTGCGGCCCCTGGTTTGAGGTTTGCTCCTTTGACTTTGACATCTTTGGGCGTGGGTCGTTTGACGAATCGTGTGACCAATGTTTTGGAGCACTGAAAGCCTTTTGCATCGAACACTCACTTCAGCTGCACCTCACACATTTAACCCGGGCACTGCTAGGGTACAGCAAGAGCTCTGAGTATCCTACAGGGAAGCTTTCCAGAATTTTACCTTAACTTTTTCTGTTTGTGCAGGGAAGAATGTACTTTGGCTTGTTGACCCTTACCTTTAACTCTGACACTGAGCGCAGGAACTGGTTCAAAGGAGCCGACACCGTTTCATTGATGTACTTCTTGGAGAACCGCTTGCAGAATGAGTTGGAGTCTTTGGACAACGACGCCAGCTCGTTTTTTGCTGAGATAGTGTCAGCGCTTTCTGCAGCAAACAAGTTCATGAAATGTATCTATCACTCCTCTTTGTGGCTTTCAAAGGAGGAACGGAACACCCTCCTCAATTCAGGCTACAAGTTCTCAAATAGCTTCGCCAAGTGTGCGCAAGCAGCCTATGACTGGGGATTGACACGGTTCAAATATCAACCCAAATTTCACATGTTTGGGGAACTCTTGTTTCAGCTTGCCTTCGAAAGGCACCACAATTTGCCATCCATATCCCCTTTAGCGTTTTGCACTCAATTAGATGAAGACTTTATCGGCAAGGTCGCTGCGTTTTCACGTGCGGTGTCGGTACGGACCGTTCATGAACGCACACTCAGCAGGTACATGATAGCTTTAGCTTCGAGGTGGTAACTTTGTTGCCCCAGAGGCCTGCAGTTTGTGCTTCAGTCATCCCACCAGTCCTCGAAGAAGACTCGATGGGAAAGCTCCATGGCTGCCCAGACATGACGTCATATGTTTTCTCAATGATGCGCAGTTTGTATCTAACATTTGATTGGTGGCAAACACCCATGAGTATTTTAGACATGGTTTTTGGTGGATGTCGAGCAGCCTTGAACTGCACAGCCATAACAGCTCAAAAAGCAGTGGCGCTCTTTGGAACGAAAACACGACACAGTGAAGCAGTGTGCTATTTTTATAGCACACCAGGCTTCCCAGGTTGAACATTTAGAAAGAGTGAATATGAAATTCTAATCACGAAAGGTGTTCCCCGAGGGGATACATACCTAGAGTTTGTTTTGTGAAGCATGTCAATTCTCTCCTGGGTAACGTCTTCGTGAGCCTCTTATGGTTTCAGGATAGTTCAAATCCTATGACGCTCCGATTCAATGCTCACCGATGATCTGAGCCATGGGGGCAAGTTTGTTTCCTAAGAATCCTTGTGAACATTTCGAGAGCATATGTTTGAACATTTAGAGTGCATATGAACATATATTTACGAAAGGTCGCCTCCGAGGGGATAAATCACCATGTCGAACATTGCATTTTTGTTCCTGCCTCTCGCGTTCTCTTCTCTTCCCGCTGTCCTACCTTTCGTGTCTCCCTCCTCTCAAGTATGACATTTGTTGTGGTTCATGTTCGATCTCGTACAGTCTACGCCCCCCTTGACCAGTGACACTCGGCTTTCGAAACCATGTGCCGCCATGTGCCGCCATGTGCCGCCAGTAGACACAGCAATTCGTTCGATGCGCGACAAGCAGCATGAGCCACCCTGTGATCGCCGAGGCTTCGTGCCGGACGGTTTCTCATCTATCTCAGCCAGGCTGTATGAGGCAAGCTGGTTGCAGCAGGGGTTTTGGGACGGTGGGTGTGGGCCCAAGGACCCAGCAGGGTGCTTCCGCCAAGTGGACGTGGATCGGCGTGAAATCCTGGGCATCGGTCTTGGCAGGTCGAATTTCAAGGAAATGGGCTTGAGAGCATGTGGGGAACCCCCCCAGTTGTTTCATGGACTTTGAGGACGTTAGCTTCGGTGGTTTGATTTGGCTGAAGGGGGCAAAAGTCCAAAACAGCATGGTGGAGAGTAGCCACCCCATGTGAATCAATGCCGAAACCAGATCAGCAAGCCCTTGGTCCTTCGGGTTTTGTCCACCTTTGCACTATATATATATACCAGGACTTGGATGGTCCAGGTATAGCTTCAACACTTTAGTTTTTCAACCGTCATTTTCCAACGGGGTTGATCATTTCCAATGGGAGACGCTGGATCTCGTGGAGTCCTTTTTCAAGGCCCCACAGGGGGGGAGCAGATCAGCCGGCCCGCAGGTCTTGCTGCACGGCTGTGTGCCGGTGCTTCTCACACATGCTTTTCACCCGTGCCCCGGTGTGAGTCGGACGCGGTGGTTTCAGACGGTCGAAGCATGTTGAGTCTGGTCGCACGATACGATTCTGCACCCCTCCAGGGTACACGCAGGCGGGTTTCTTTTTGGGCATGTTGTGCATGGTCCATGTGAAACACACTAAGACCGTCCAAAGATTCAAGAGGGCTCTCTTACACAACTTGTGCTCTCCGCGGCCCCTTCAAAGTACTTTACTACACTGTTTGGGGACAGCTTCTCAAGAGAATTGATCTTCGCAGGGGGTGTTACCCCCATACTTGCGAAGTTATCCCTCTCCAAGCGATGTTTGGTGGAACATGGTGGAACAAACCCGCAACCCATGGATTGTAGAGTAAAGCTTA